CCCCCCCCGGCTGCGGTGTGCCGTAGCGAGGCGAGGAATGGTCAAACCCCGATCTTTTTATACATACGGTTTTTATTTTTTGTTCCTTTTCGTCGCGGGGCTTTCGGCTTACGGAAAAGGAAAGCATCTGATGCGTCTGCTCACATGCCACTTTTGATCATACGTTGCCTCTTTGCACAGAGCAGGATCGTTGGGAAAGATGGAGATACCATAAGTTGCTAGTAGTGAAAAGTGCTGCAGAAATCCAGTGGTTTCCTTGCTCCACTGAAGTGACATATTTTTCCTCGGGTTAAGTTGAAAGCACTGCTTGGCGGAGACTGACTGTAGCTGAGAGTGGGTCTGTTTTTCTTGAACGGTTAGGTTTTGCAAAGAGCAGCGATGAAGAGGGAGCTGGCACTCTCCGAGATGCAGTTGGTTCTTCTCGTTTTAATGGTGTGGCTACCAACAAGGTGAGAGGATGTTTAATTTTGTTGTTCAGTACAAACATGTATGTTACGGTCTGCTCAGGGTAAGCTTGCGTGAGAGGTTATAAAAGTATAGTATGTAGTAATGTAATAAAAAAATCTTTCTTAGCTGTTTGAATGCAGTATTACATAGTTTCCAGAGCAAATGCGGTAGGAGGTAGCCTAGGGACTGTATAAGCCTGATCTCTTGTCCTTAAACAGTTTGTGAATTGATGCTTTATTTCACCATTACAAATATAATTGCTTTAAATGCCTTACTGGATCTTAAAGATTTATTGGAGTTACTGTATCACTGTGATTCTGTACCATACAGAACAGTTAAGATGGAGAAATAGATTATCATGAAGTCAAATAGCAAATCACAGTCTCTAAAATAATTGTAATATTTTTAATACAGGCATGCTTTTTTTTTTTTTCTTTCTTTTTTTTTGGTCAACATAACAGAATTCAAAATGATACTTAAGCTTTAAACCTCTAGGTGGAGATAGCATACAACTTCACAATCACATATGATAAAACAATAGCCTCATTTATTAATCAACTTTTCTTATGTTGTTTAAAGTTCTCCATTTCTAAAGTGACAACATAAGAGACAGTAATTTTAATCATGTGATAGTTTTCTGTTGCCCATAGTCCCTAAACATGCAATTAATTGTACTTTGTAACTTCGGTTTGCTTGCTTTGGTTCTGACTGCAGTAGGTCTCGTCCTAATATGGTAAGGGTCATAAGCTGAATAATGCAAGTTTCCTATGATTTTAAAAGTCTGCATTTATTTTTGTCTATTTCCTAGTGAACAAAGTATTTCCTGAAGCTATGTTTGCTATTTCACTTTATACCTAACTATGGTGCAGTATTAGTTGAGTCACAGTGGGCCAGATCCTGCAAACCCTACTCAAGTGAGTAATCTCGCTGACGTCAAAGAGACTACCTGCGTAATTAAGGAGTTTATGCCTGAGTAAAGTTTGCAGGATTCGACCCTAATTTGATATAGTTGTATGATCTAATTTTTTAGTAGTATCTTGAGTTCAAAAAACTGTTGTATCTCAAAAAGAAGCTTAAAAAATGGCAGAGACTTACAGTACAGAAATACATTTTAAAAATAAAAAATGAGCCATCCAGTAATTACAATTAAGAAAAAACTCACACATCAGTAAAATCACACATGACATTTTGGTATGTTATCTGATATTGGTCGATTCTATGGTTTATGTGATGGAAAGCACAGACTGCAATGATTTACATTTAAATACTTCCTCCATGCTGTTGGATTGGGGACCAACATAAAACCCTGTCTTTAATCATTTCATTGCTTGCTTTAGAGAAAATGTCACCCAAACCTACTTCTGGCTTGGAGGAAGAAGAAAACATGCTTGTTTTTATGGCATTCAGAATGCCTTGATCAGTAGTTCATTTAGAGATGATAAATATTCACACATTTCAGGTTAAAAATTGAGGTGGCTGAAAAAGGTATAAATGATAATGTGTAAAAGCATATGATGCTTTACTTCCTTGATAGTAATATTCCAGTACTAAGTAGGTAAGACTGATGAGCTCATGCATTTCACATGCATAGTGCTTAAAATTGTTGGCACAGTAACATTTGCATGTGTAAGGCTTTCTGCATGGGAGTGTTTCCCTGGTACACAAAACCTTTGGTCTGGGTGTCCAGGTCTGGGAGGACTGGTCAGCATCACGGCTGGCTGGGCAGCAGATTCATGTTCCAGCCCCTAGTGTTTTCCACAGAGATGTGACCCATAAAGGCTGTAACATCTCTTTCTTTATCGGGGAAGTTTGAAACAATCGATGATCTGTAGATTCTTTTTGACACTTCATTTATGATTTTTTTTTCTACCCAACTTTTATAAGGTTTGCCTGCATCTAGTGGAACATCAGGTAGTGCTTTTTATAACAGAATAGCATTTTAGAAACACGAAGGCTCTCCACAGCTATCCTGCAGCTTGCTAGTCAGCATCGTTGTTCCCACCCACCAAATACTGACATCAGAGGACTCCCTGAGCATGATCGCTGGAGTTTTCCCTCATGTTAGTTCTTCTGGTCATGTACGTTACATGACCATTGGGTGGAAGCATATCCACAGGATTTATCCAGAGATAGAGTATACTTAGGTGAGGACAGATAGGATAGAGCTGGAAGGAGACAGTTTTGTGTGTGGGAACCCAGGTTATCAGTCCGGGGGCGACATGCCACCGAGGCCTGGGAAGCTCTTTTAGGCTTTTTCACCTGCACAGCCAAATGTGTTAGTAGAGCTTGAAGTAGCACTCACGATGATGCAATGTGGACTAGAAGTAGAGGTTACTGGAAAATGACTTCCTGGAAATTTTAAATAGTATATTGTCAACTGTTATGTTTCTGAACATGTTATATATAAATTGTGTATTCACATACTCTTGACTACACCTTTCCTGTTAGAGGGCAGCAAGTTAAATATTCAAGGCCAGCCTGAAAAAACTGCATGTTGAGTGTACATTAAAACATATCTAGCACTTTCTAAAATGTAAAATGTCCATTTAGATCAGTGCTGGCTGACTCCCTGGAAGACGAAGCTAAGAATAACATCACCATCTTTACAAGAATTCTAGACAGACTTCTGGATGGTTATGATAATCGTCTCAGACCTGGATTAGGAGGTAATAAAAACAATTAAAGATTGATTTATAAAAAAATCAGTTTTAATGTTCAGATTTTATGCAGTGATAGTCTTCCTTCAGGGTTTTTTTTTTTTTTCCTAACAACTGGTATGTGTCTTGATAAATTATTTATAACTCTATATTCACCCAGCTGAATCATTTGAAGTTTGAGAAAGATAATATCTATGAATGGAAAGGAGGCACTTTCACACATTTATCTTAAGTAAAAAGAAAAAAAAATCTGGTGATTTAACATAGTAGAACAGAATGAGAACAAAAATAACATCTAAAGCTGTTATTCCAGTCAGGGAATTTTGCTTGAGCAAGGAACGCAGGCTTGATTCCCTGCAATGCGATGAGTGCATGTTTTCAGAAATCTGCACAAGTGTTTTGTGTGGTATGTGTAAAATCCACATTTTAGATTCATTCCTTGTCACAGTAAATTCAGTGGGAATATTGTATTTTTTAATTCCTTGGAATTAGGGTTTCACTGGTAGTTAGCATTTTGTTTCTGGCTACCTTGCAAGTATTTGTGCATTTGAAAAAAAAAAAAAAAACAAAAAGAAAAAAGGGAATATTGGAGGCCAGAGGTCACTGCACTCTTGTGCCATGACTGTCAGTTATTTTTCAAAATGTCAGTTCACATTTTCATTTTAAAGCTGTATGCCAGCTCATGTAAGTATATAAGCAAAAAATTTAAATAATTTGTTTGGTGTTGGAAGTATTACTGTGCAAAAAGATCTCTATGGTATGGGGAGGGGCAGAATATCTTGGTTTTGGTAATATTTTATCTACTATTATTGTTTATCTGGTACTTATACTATCTAACATAAATATTTATGTATTGACTACAGCATTGTTACTATTATTATTCTTAACGGTTTTGGTAATTGTAATTTTCAAACTGGAGACTGTTTCAGCTTGCTAAAACTAATTCTAGTGCAAAATCCCTGGGAGACATTCCTGTTCCTGTTGATTTCAGTAAGATCAGGCCTAAAGCTAGAGATCTTCTCTAACTTCCATGGAAATTACTCTAACAACTCCATTTGATCAAGTTAGGAATTAGTTAAAACTCACAGTTTGTAGCCAACACACTCTCATCCTGACCTGTCGCTGTTCTGGTTCTGGAGAATCTTGGCTTGCATCTGACACAGCATAAAGTGGGAGCTGGCGCTGGCTGGCAACAGCTTTCTCATTATGCATTAATATTAACCTAGGATATCTTTTCATTTCCATTTCTGGCCTCTGTATGGTGGAGACTTGTGAAATATTTTATATTTAAGGACTTTTTAATTTAGATGATCCATAAAGTGGGACGTAGAACACTGTTGATGTGAGAATTTATATAGTGATGTTTTACATGGAGATTCGATTTCTTTGCAAAATACCCGAATTTAAGAATTTAGACATAGTATAAACATACAATGCCTTGCAGGTGACTTGCAGAAATGTTTCATGTCACAAAGCTTGTGTTTAATTGGCAGAGCTTTTAAAATCATGTTTTTTATTAGAAAAATAATGAAAAATTCTTTTCTTGTTTACAAAAAGGAATGTGCCATTTAATGAGAGCAGTCTGCAGTTCCTTTGCATATCATGTATTCTTTTTAATATTAAAAGCTATATTGTTGAAAACATGAATTTTAAAATTTATTTTTCTAATTGATTTTTATTTTAGATTTTTCCATTACATTTACTTCAAAATACCTTCCTCTTTTTCTTTGCCAAGCCTCCTAGGTAATTAAAATATACTTTCGGAGCATAAAAATTAAAGAATTAACATCTGTTTGATATTGGCATACATGGCAATCAACCCAGGCAGAACATGTGTGAAATGAAACTGTGTCATGCATATTAAACCGTGATGAATCATGATACATTAATCTTAATCTGCAAGAATACTTCAGCTGTGGATGGATGGATTCTTATAGTTTAAAAGAATGCTTGTAAAAGCCAGATGTGATAATCCATGATATGAAATACACCAAACAATGCTTTTGTACGTAGTGCTTAGTAATTATGGAGTTTCGTATTTCAGGAATTTTGTAGCACTTCAGTCCTTTTTCTCTATTAACCTGTACTCTGAAAATAAAAATGGAAATAATTCATCTCTTTTTTAAGCACTATGTGCCTAGTGAGTCTTGATAGTTTCTTAAAGTGTTTTTGCGTAGACTACTGCATTTTGACCATGCCATGTGTCATTAATTTAATATACTTAGTTCTGTTCCACTTGCATTTATATGAATCTGAAATAACTCAGTTGAAACCAGTAGAGCATTTACTTTGGCATAGCAGCTTGCATTATCCTGCTACACTACTATGACTGAGATCACAATCTGGCCTAACGTGCTGCAACAGAAATAGTCCAGGGTCTGAGATGGATTCTTTTAAAGTCTTCTGAAAGCAAGAGTTGTTCAGCAGCCCACTTTCATCTGTTGGGAAAGACATTTTCAGAGATGTCTTACAGCAAAAATTCAGCTCATTGTAAAGAATTATTAATCTCAAAAATGTTTTCAGTAATGAAAAGCATTAGCTTAACACTGGCATTTTAGTTAGTTATTGACCAACAAAATGGAAATGTTTAGGCTCCTTCAAAGACTGTATATAAATTCAACTAAGTAATTGCCTGTTTGGGAATTCGTTCTTGAATTTAGGCATGGATTTATAATTAATTTTACTGGGAGGCTTGGTGTGAGTACTTACAGTATGTAACTTGATGCTTTACTGATACATTGATACACTTCAGAACTGAATATGTTTTCTATAGACTGTTAAGGCAGCTTTAACTTTTCCTGTTGATGCAGTTCTGTCGTATAAACAGGTTTTGGCTGTTGGCTATTGGCTGTCCTAGCAGCTGGGGTCCTTGAATGATGTATGAACACTATAATGATGAAATAGCCTGCAAAATGGGTGTGGGCTGGGAAACGAATACACTGCACTGTCCCCTGAAGCCAGAGACACCTCATATGACTTAGATAATACACTGGCCTACTGTGTTGATGTGGATAGGCATGAAGGTATTCAAGGGGAGATAAATTTTTCTCTGCACTCATTTTGTGCTAAGCACAGGATTGCAGCTGGAACACTCTTGACTGCACTTTCAGTTCTGAGATGAACTATTTTACCCAAACATTCCATGCCATTTCTGTTTAGACATCAAAATAAATTACAAGTTCAGTTTCAAAACAAATTCCCTATGTCATTAGCACTAATTTGTATGAAATACAGCCATGCAAATGACAAGTCATAAACAGTTTGACTGGTTATGATTTTCTTCAAAATCGTGAAAGTATTTTCTTCTATTTATTTGCTGTAATGTTTGCAAGACACTTAGGGTAGCACTTTTCCATAAATCCTTTGATTTTTATTAGCATATAGAAAAAGAAATCCACAAAACAATGGACACTAAAACTAAGCAAGGGACCAAAAGAGAATTTAGATCTTCAAATAATGAGACAACTGAATGTTGAAGCTGAGATACAGCTGCATTCAAATCTGGAAGTGATTGAAGTATCTGTCTGCTCTGTCTGCTTTCCTCTGCCCCATGGACAGACATCATTAAAGGAAAAAGGGACATAGATTAAGGCAATCCCCTCTCTTAATATATTGATGTTCTTGTGTATTAGGTGTATCAGCAAAAACATACATTTTTTTTTAAAATGGTAGCTTCTTTTTGAAAATGAAAAAGAGGAAGGAAGGGAGAAGGAATGGAAATGGTGCTAGGATTTTGATATCATGTTGGATACTTCAGTAGTCTTACCATCTCCATAAGCTGTTCAGCCTGTTTTGCTTTCTCACATTTGAACTTGGTCATTTCCAGCAGCTATAGAACTTCTGTCTGTTCTACTGTCCAAAACTTATAAAATATAATTGAATACAAGACTTAGAAAATATAAAATTTAAATCTTGAATAAAACCACAAAAAGGGAGGTTACAAGGACAGAGGACTGGACTTCATAGCCTGAAGGCCAGATTTTTAACTGCCATACTGACATCGAAAAGAGCTATGCAAATTTATACAGTTTGAGGATCTTTCCACCAACTGTGGTCAGTCTCACCAGCTTCAGGAATGGCATTCTCATTGTAACCAAAAAGGTGAATGCTGGTTATTAAAAAAACTGAAGAAGATCAGACAGTAGGTAGGTGAAAACTAAAATGCCACTGTGGTTCCCTTTTGAAGTAACCATCTCTGCTGCAAGGTGACTTTCAGATGTTCTGATTGCTTTAAACAAGAATCTCCATTGCATTTCACTTACAGACGTACCAAAATGTTTTTTTTTTAATCACATTTTGTAAATAAATTGAGCAGGAAAATAGAAGAGAACTGAGAATGATTATTGTTGATTATTGCTATAAGAGATGGTGAGCAGTGAGCACTTGTGGCTATGATCATTCATCTTTGCAACACTGGGTGTATCGTTGCATAGAATTGGTGTAGTAGCGTAGAGTATCAGACTCTGTGATTAAAAGTTGTATGACGTGCTCACCAATATGAGCTAAAAGGGAAAAAACATTTTTTCACAGAAAACTTCTTTTTTTTCCCTCCAGATCAGGAGAGCTATATATATATATATGTATGTGTGTGTGTAGGTGTGTGAGTTTATCAGAGTTGTATGTCTTCAGTTGCCAGGAAACAAGGCCATGATCATATGCTGATAATCTGGAATATGTTAAACTTAGGGCAGTATATTTATAGGTCTCTGTGATTCAGAGTTTTTAATCAGCTTTAGAAGAGTTTGTAGCTGTAGCAGTCCCCTAGCTGGGCATTCAAAACTTAGCGGTGTTTGTCAGCCTCATCATGCTTAATACACATTCAGAGTATCCTAAAAGAATGTCCTTTGACTATTTTTGCTGCAGAACGCTACAGGAAGGCTTTCACTACTGTTTGTAAAGGAAAAAGTGCAGTTCCCCTGCTCAGTTCTGGTTGCTTCCTTAGCCCTTATTTGCTCCAGTTTAATCTTTTGGAAATGGTAATGACTCTCTGCCAGTGCTAGTGCAGAGCA